CTAGTTTCACACTGTAGCAGATCTGGGAACGTGTGGAAATGGCATGCGTTCCCCCCCCCCCCCCGAACTGCAGTTAAAATGCGCTGTTTTTGTGCCATCAATTCTTGATGCTACTTCCACAAAAATGTGGTGCGTTGCATCTGCAAAGAGCTGCAGCACTGTAAGGTTTCCATGCGGCTGCAGGTTTTTTTAACCGCCCCCCCCCAGCCTATTGATACATGATGGCAGCATGGGAGCACTGCTATCCCAGATGGATGTCATAGGCCATCAATATTGATCGATTTTCAGATATATATCCCATAGTTTAAATGGAAGTATCCTCCTGCGCTTTATATAGAAGAATATCCCTATACTATCCCTATATGGTAGCTACTGTCACTTGACTAAACCAATAAGTGATCAATATTTAACAAAAATTAGCGAAGCGCTATTATTATCAAAATTAAAAACTACAGTGCCTATTATGCCTATCAATTAGTGCTCCGTGAAAAAAAGCACATATATATATAATATACTTCAGGGCTAATTAAACATTCTTGTAGTGAAATAAAAATACCCATCAATGTGAATTTTGAACAAAAGAGGAATGAAAATGATAAGAAATACCATGTATATATATCGAATTCAATCACAAAATTCCATCCTATAACTGTGCATGACATAAATGTAAAACCACCACCTGTGCATAATCAAAAATAAGAATAAAGCAAAGTCCATGCAAGTGAAAACTTCATAAAAAAGTGATCTTCACTTCTAGTGCACAAATTCTCAAATGGCAGCAGTGCCTGCTCACCTCCCCGCACTGACCCACACAGGGCCAAAAAGCTATTACTCTCCTCTGTATCAGGTCCTTGTATATGGATAGCCCATCCAGATGTCACAAGGGAATTGGAGACTTCTCTTTTCCACTCCACCTCCACTCAGTAATATACAAGACACAAGAGAGATCCTTCCATAGTGTAATAGGTTTAATAAAGCCAGCAAGGAAGGCAAAAATCACACTCATATAGTTGTTGTTACATCAGTGTTTTCCCCATCCCATGGGTCTATTGCATGAAACCAATATGGCCGCTGTGTCTGGACATGCGTCACCACGTGACCGGAAGTGACGTTACTTGAAACCGGATATGGCGTACCGACGCGTTGCGGATATGGTGACACTGTACTACTAGGGTGACAGTATGTTATAAAAAAAAAAACAAAAAACAATAAATAATATAAAATGTAAAAAAAGTTTGGAAAATTATAATTTTTGATTATAAACTAATTTTGTTTTTTTTTTTTTTTTTTACTAAAAAGATAACTGAATACATTTTGGCCAAGATTTATGAAGAAAGATTATTTATTTGCAAAATTTTTTAAGAAAAACACTTTTTTTCAAAATTTTTGGACTTTTTCATTTATATAGTGAAAAAAATAAAAATCCCAGTGGTGGCGAATAAATACCACCAAAATAAAGTTTTATCTGTCTCAAAAAAATGTTAATTCATATGGGTACAGTGTTGCATGACCGCGCAATTGTCATTCAAAGTGAAGCACTGAAATCTGAAAATTGGCCTGGACAGCAAGGGGGTAAAAGTGTCCAGACTTGAAGTGGTTAATTGGCCGGCCTGCAGTCCAGACCTTTCACCAATTGAAAATATTTGGCGCATCTTGAAACAAAAAATACAACAAAGAAAACCCCAGACTGTTGCGCAGTTAGAATCCTATATTAGGCAAGAATGGGACAACATTCCTCTTCCAAAACTTCAGCAACTGGTCTCCTCAGTTCCCAGACGCTTACAGAGTGTTGTTAAAAGAAGAGGGGATACTACACTGTGGTAAACATGACCCTGTCCCAACTTTTTTGAGACATGTTGCTGCCTTCATTTTCAAAATGACCTTTTTTTTCCCTTTAAATTATACATTTTCTCAGCTTAAACATTTGATATGTTTTCTGTTTTGGATAAAATATGGGTTTTTTAGATTTGCAAATCATTATATGAACCAGACTGCAAACGTACCTCATCCCTAATATATCGTATGAAGAACCACAAAAAACTAATAGGACTTTACTGGTAAAGAAAACAGACATATTACTGTATAAAACACGTTTATTCAAACATATATTCCAAAAATTTACCATAAAAAACAGTATTTAGCTAGTCAGCCCAATAAATCACATCATTGTGTATTATGACATCTACGTCCTCCAGAAGCCGACGCGTTTCGCTTATTAGCTTCCTCAGGACCCCCGAAAGAGTTGGAGGCAAAGAAGTCCAATGCCCTAGCTGGAAGATACATATATGCACATATATACAACATTAGTCATACAATTATGATCATTACAAAATTCTTATAAATCATTGAATTCTGTTTCTATGAAGATTTTACAAAGTATCACAACCTGTTCTGGAATTGGGGTTGTACTTGCAGATGCTGACTTTAAGTTTTCCCCTAGCCAAGTAAAGTTCCTCTTCAACAAACAGTTACAAGACCTTTTTTTCTTCATAAAATACTTAAAGTGGAGCTCCACCCAAAAGGGGAAGTTCCGCTTTAAGGACTGCTCCCCATTAAGGATTGGCACCTTTGGGGGGCGGGTACCCGAATTTGACAGGTACCCGCTCTTATTTCCGGTCCGAAGCAGAAGGTGTCCTCCCTCCCTCCGTTCCTGTAGTCTTTTGGGAAATGTGACAGGTCCCAGAAGACTACAGGACCATTCATGAAGCACAGCACTACTCCCGCATGCGCAGTAGCCGCAAGCTATCACAGCCTGGTGCCCACACTGAAGATGCCGGCCTCCTGGAATCCAGGACAGCTGGTGAAACGAGCTGCGGGGGACACACCACGGCACCGAGGGACAGGTAAGTGGCTGTTTTTTAAAAGTCAACAGCTACAGTTTTTGTAGCTGCTGACTTTTATTTATTGACAGGGTGAGTGGATCTCCGCTTTAAAACCTTTCTTTTGTTATCATTTGTTACATCTCAGTGCTGCTAATCTTCAGCCTCTTTGTAGTCACTTCTTGTTTACATGCACTCCAGTAATGGCTGCGTGATATTTCTCAGGGTGGGTATTCTGTTGATGATAACAGCTGAACATGCTTTTGTAATAGGCATTGAAATAGCCATTTGGGATAGCGTGAGAAGAGGGTGGCAACTAGAGATGAGCTTGGGTGTCATCTGAACGCATCTCTAGCCGAACTCATGCTCATTTTTACTCCCAATCAGCTATGGGCTGGGTCATTCGGCCTCTTTGGGGAGGAATGATCCGGCCTACAGCTCATTGGAGTAAAAAAAGAGCAAGAGTTCGGCTAGAGATGAGTTCTGCCAAAGACTTCAAAGCTAATCACTAGTGGCAGTGTAGGGGAGCATTTGGGAGTCAAGGACAATGTTGTCACCCTATACCAGGAATTGCCTAAACAAGGACACCTAGGACAGGATATTTTAAAAAATGTTGACAATGACTTTTTGGCATGACATTAATATGTCATATAAAGCTTTTATGAGATTTTAGTGAATTGGTTTACTTTCAGACAGGGTGGATTTCATTTAAATCAAACTGATTTAAATCACTATTCACTACGTAAGCTTGATTTAAATCCTAGTTTTCTACATAAAGACTAATTCTTGCTGGTATAACTTTAATATACAAGTAGATGAAGATTTTTAGAATAATAACTTTTCATATTAGTTTTTTTATCCCCAGTTTAATAGGTTAATCATTCATATTTGGACAACTTTTCTGTTGTACTTAGGAAGGAGAAAAATAATCATTCCCTTAATAATAACAATTTAAATAGATTTATTCATCTGAAACAATAACATTCCAGCATATGTGATTTGCTTAAACATCCATGTTTGGTAACTAATTTGGCTAAACAAAATATATATATATTTTAAGAACCTTAGACTGTCAGCCCCTTCCTCCTCACACTTAGTTTCACTTTCTTCTTGTGCAGATCTATTCCACTCCAAACAATCGGAAAAATATTGTTTCTATTCTATTCACTGAACTTCTTGAAACTTAGCAGTGAAGGGGTTGATTCTGTATTCATAGGTTTGTAGAAGTTAGGATGAAGGTCTTTTTCTTAATTCTGTTCATGTTATAACATTTTTGCTGTGAAGAAGAGGCATGTGATCTCCGCTGAGTCAAATTCAGTTTTGAGAACTGCAAAAGTAAACCAATCATCTGTGATAATATCTTGTAGGCAGAGAAACTGCCCAATAATCTTACAAAAACCTCTGGAAGAGCATGACATTGTGAATGGATTCATGGAATTTATTTACCAAAAAAATTAAACATATACAGCCTTATTCTACATAATTAAAAAACTAATCTTTATTTCATGATGGAATAACCTTTGGATGGTAATATATTTTCCTCAAAAAGCATTTTATATAAAAAAAATACGATTTAAATCAAAAAAAAACAAATCTGATTTAAAATCAAAAAAATCTGATTTAAATCAAAAAAATCTGATTTAAATCAAAAAAATTAGATTTTTTTAAAAACATCATTGATTTTTATCCACCCTGCTTTCAGATGATGATGCATATGCCATGCATACGTTATCCATTCAAAGTGGAAAGTAGCTGTTCTCCAGAGTAAAAAGCCATAATCTGTTTTTATTGATGGGGAGTGCCTCCCTTATTTGTCTATGTATACTAGGTAAACTCATCAGAGAGAGGAGCTCAGGTGGTTTGCTGTATATCAGAGCCTTCAATAAATACATAGATTGACTGACCGTGTTTGATTGTGGAGTGAAGGACGAACCACATGGGAGCTGTCACCTGGAACTACATCTGTTTATTTGCATAGAAGCATTGGAATCCTTGTGATGTGCTATCTATTCTTCTATTTATTCTACAGACATGCGTGTCTGACCTATCAGATAGGAAGGGGGAAGACTTGCATGCTGACTTATCTAAGGGATTTATTTATAGTGGTTTGTTTTCATTGTACACATTAATTCTTACATATTCTTGTTTTTTCTTCCGTTTACTCCTCATTTAGGAATCATGATGAACTCCTCTCAGGGCACGGTTGGCAGTGACCCCGTCATCCTTGCCACGGCCGGATATGACCACACTGTACGATTTTGGCAAGCCCACAGTGGCATCTGTACCCGCACGGTACAGCATCAAGACTCTGTATCCTTTCCAGTAGATTAACTGTACAGAAAGAGAGAAATAATTAGAATAAAGCTAACGTTTCATTTGCTTATGTTTTGCCTTTCCTTTCCTTCCTCATTAACATGCTAATTACATTTTTAAATAAGACCTTTCTGTTTTCATTACACACCTTATTTTAGACCCAGTAATGTCATTATTGTGTCTCTGTGCTTCTCTATGCATTGCTGGCAGATAATAGTTGGTGGGAGGATCTGTGCAGATAATAGTTGGAGGCAGGATAGTTGAATAACTATTATTGGATAACTAATATTATAATATTTGGATAACTATTATCTATGCTAGCAGATAATAGTTGGAGGCAGGGTGTTGTGATGTGAAAACATCACAGCACACTGCTTCAGTTCTGGCTCGTAGGAGGAGTTAGGCAACTATCAAAATGTTTTGATGGGTGCATGTTAGTCTGGAGGAGTGGGCATTTCTTGGCAGGCTGCATTTGCATGCATCATCCACAGGTGATGTTGAGTCTCCAGGATGGGTAGAATTTAAATCTAATGAGTGGAAGGGGCAGTCAGGCTGGGGAGGAAAGAGATAATATAGCCAGGAAATGAGGCAGGCTCTATCTAACTATAAAAATGTTTTGATGGGTGCATGTTAGTCTGGAGGAGTGGGCATTTCTAGGCGGACTGTATTTGCATGCATCATCCACAGGTGATGCTGAGTCTCCATTATGGGCAGAATTGAAATCTAATGAGTAAGGGGCAGTCAGGCTGGGAAGAGTTAGATGATAATATAGCTAGGAAATGAGGCTGGCTCTATCTAACTTGTTGCAGCTTCTAATGCACACTGTGAGAGGCTCTAGTTACGTACAATCCCTTTTGTGAGCAGGTGGACTCTCTCCTGGAGAACCTCTGTTAAAGGAATCATTGGCCACATTAGAGGTCACCAAAATCTAATTCCTCTTCTCCATTAATGTAGCTAATTGGTCATATGGCATAGCATGTGGGATTTGTTCCCTTTGACCATCCTTTCCACATTTTTGTCCTCCTTGACTTAAGATTCTTAGCAGGTGAATGCCTTGGAGGTGACCCCAGACCGGAGCATGATAGCAGCTGCAGGTAACCTCTTCCTGGCTAATTTTCTTTTTTTTAATTTTGTTCATGTGTGTATTTTGTATTTTTTGTAGTGTAAGTGGTAGGTAGGAGAAAAAAAAAAAACATATCAAAATGTTAAAGTGAACTTTGTACTCTCTGCAAGGGCTCCTTTTTATAGGTAGACCCCTTTCCTGGCTGCATTAAAGCAGAGCTCCACCAAAAAGGGGAGGTTCTGCTTTAAGGACTGCTCCCCCGCTCCCCATTGAGGATTGGCACCTTTGGGGGGCGGAGGGGGGGGAGTGGATACCTGAATTTGACAGGTACCCGCTCCCACTTCTGGTCCGATCGCCTAGGCGATCGGAAACGGAAGGTGTCCTCTCCAGTCTTTTGGGACACGTGACAGGTCCCAGAAGACTACAGGACCGTTCATGAAGCGCAGTGCTACTCGCACATGCACAGTGGATACCTGGCTGTGAAGCCGCAAGCAGTCACAGCTGGGTGCCCACACTGAAGATGCCGGCCTCCAGGAATACAGGACGGCTGGGGAAACGGGCTGCAGGGAACACACCACGGGACCGAGGGACAGGTATGTGGCTTTTATTTTTTGACAGGGTGAGTGGAACTCCGCTTTAAAGTGTGTTAAAAAAAAAAAACTCCTGTACGGGAAGCAAATAGCTATACTTACCTTTCCTCCAGCTTCTGTTGTGCAGGGGGTGACATCATCATTCTTCGAGGAGGATGAGAATGGTGAGCACTCCAAATCTCGCAAGATCCCCCTACAGCACAGTGCTGGGAACATCATCTGTGTGCGGGATTTCAGCTACTCTATTATTCCAGAGATTGCTGGAAGGAGGATGATGAGTATATTATCTAACATTATTTCCCCTACAGATGATCATCTGAGGGTTCTCATTTATCCAGGTTATTGTATGTATAGTAATAGTTACTCACATTTAACTGAGCTTGTTCTGTAAACCTTTAAAGATTATCCAAGACACTTCTTCAGATCTAATGAGTGTCAGGATAATCATCATGAGTGTCATGGAAATTGATGGATTACCATCTATGCAGGCTTCCTGCTATTAAAGCCGGCCATGTATTATACGATTTTCTTGTTCCTTTAGATTTACCTTCAACTGTGTTGTGCAAAGGCCTGATTGATTGAGTGTTTAGGTTTACCTCCTATTATATGGTTTTGGTAAATCTAAAGGAAAATTGTACCAGAAAATTGTATAATGTATGCCAGCCTATGGATGGAATGAGGTAAATAGAACAGGGTGGTTCCACAACCTCCCATCTTATTCTTGGACAATAACATCTGCCTTTCCATGATGATTAGATCAAGGTGTTGGTGTTACCTGTGTGGATATACCGTATTTTTCGCTCCATAAGACGCACTTTTTTCCCCCAAAAAAAGGGGGAAAAAATGTCAGTGCTTCTTATGGAGCGAATATGGAGCGGCCGGTCTGGTATTTCCACCACCGTTGTGTCAAAATACCGGGCCGGCCGCTCAGCTCTGCAGTGGGACCGTACCTGTTCCTCTATCCAGCGGCGCGTTGTCTTCTCGGCTTCTGTAGTGTGCGTGAGAGCCTGGTCCCAAGTGCGCATGCGCAAGAAGCGGTGCTCTTTGTGAATGGTAAGGCGGTACCTGGGACACATGACAGATCTCAGAAGCCGCCGGACCAATCACAAAGCGCAGCGCTTCTCGCTCATGCGCACTGGGCATCCGGCTGTCCGCCGAGCGCCCACACTACAGAAGCCGGGTAGACAGCGCACGGCTGGCTAGAGGAACAGGTAAGATCAAAGAACAACTCCGCGGCAGTGGGAGCGGGTACCTGTCAAATTCAGGTACCCGCTCCCCCTCCCTCCCCAAACGTCAGCAGTCATCTCCTGTACTGTCCGCAGTCTCTGGTCATCCCTGTGCTGTCCACAGTCTCTGGTCATCTCCTGTACTGTCCGCAGTCTCTGGTCATCCCTGTACTGTCCGCAGTCTCTGGTCATCTCCTGTACTGTCCGCAGTCTCTGGTCATCTCCTGTACTGTCCGCAGTCTCTGGTCATCTCCTGTACTGTCTGCAGTCTCTGGTCATCTCCTGTACTATGTCCGCAGTCTCTGGTCGTCTCCAGTACTGTACTGTGTCCGCAGTCTCTGGTCATCTCCTGTACTGTGTCCGCAGACTCTGGTCGTCTCCTGTACTGTGTCCGCAGACTCTGGTCATCTCCTGTACTGTGTCCGCAGTCTCTGGTCATCCCCTGTACTGTGTCCGCAGTCTCTGGTCATCCCCTGTACTGTGTCCGCAGTCTCTGGTCGTCTCCTGTACTGTCCGCAGTCTCTGGTCGTCTCCTGTACTGTGTCCGCAGACTCTGGTCGTCTCCTGTACTGTGTCCGCAGACTCTGGTCGTCTCCTGTACTGTGTCCGCAGACTCTGGTCGTCTCCTGTACTGTGTCCGCAGACTCTGGTCGTCTCCTGTACTGTGTCCGCAGACTCTGGTCGTCTCCTGTACTGTGTCCGCAGACTCTGGTCGTCTCCTGTACTGTGTCCGCAGACTCTGGTCGTCTCCTGTACTGTGTCCGCAGACTCTGGTCGTCTCCTGTACTGTGTCCGCAGACTCTGGTCGTCGTCTCCTGTACTGTGTCCGCAGACTCTGGTCGTCTCCTGTACTGTGTCTGCAGACTCTGGTCGTCTCCTGTACTGTGTCCGCAGACTCTGGTCGTCTCCTGTACTGTGTCCGCAGACTCTGGTCGTCTCCTGTACTGTGTCCGCAGACTCTGGTCGTCTCCTGTACTGTGTCCGCAGACTCTGGTCGTCTCCTGTACTGTGTCCGCAGACTCTGGTCGTCTCCTGTACTGTGTCCGCAGACTGTCGTCTCCTGTACTGTGTCCGCAGACTCTGGTCGTCTCCTGTACTGTGTCCGCAGACTCTGGTCATCTCTTCTACTGTGTCCGCAGTCTCTGGTCATCTCTTCTACTGTGTCCGCAGTCTCTGGTCATCTCTTCTACTGTGTCCGCAGTCTCTGGTCATCTCTTCTACTGTGTCCGCAGTCTCTGGTCATCTCTTCTACTATGTCCGCAGTCTCTGGTCATCTCCTGTACTATGTCTCCAGTCCATTAGTTCAGAATCTTTTTTTTTCCTGTTTTCTGCCTCTAAAACCTAGGTGCGTCTTATGGAGCGAAAAATACGGTAAATGCAGGAGTGTCTTTTGGACACTCATTGGAAATAAAGAATGCCCCCCCACAAACACTTGCGGTTGTGGGGGGAAGAGGTCGATGATAAGAACACCACACTTTTACTACCCCTTCCTTAAACTGCAATGGCAGTGAAGATGAGTGTACACTTGCTGTAGCCGCAATGCCTTACTTTGTGGCTGTGACAAAAATGATCCCCCTGCCGCATTTGAGCCACTACCAAACACGACCCGTTCAAGTGAAAGGGGCTGCTCCGTAACCAAGTGCAATGTGCATTTCAGCATTTACAGGGTCAAAACAGGCAATGAGGAGGCGGCATATCACCTCCTGTCAGGTCTCTAAAAGGTGATCCACCATGGATCTCTTTTCAGAGATGTGGCAGTGACAACTGCATGTATAAATGTAGTCTTTAAGAGCATTAGAGAACAAGTCCAGGTGAATGTGACTAACATTTAACTACTACAACTCATTTTTTCACTTTTATCAGTGTATTGGCAAGGCAAAGGGGAAACATCTAAATGGTGGATATTGTGTTTTAGTTGCATGTCAGCACTTTATTTTCATTGACATATGACTTTGCTATATTGTGTACCATTAACATTCTTTTGATGTCATGATTAAGGGAACGAATGGCAAAATAAAATGAGCGCTTACATATCTATGGCACTATATCTATAGTAACACTTGTAATTGATTATTACTGGTTAAACTGGAAGAAAATAGTGCTCAGCACTTTTTTTTTTAAGACAATCCCACCAAAAGCAAGCCTTGTATGACCCCAAAAAAAAAACATATTTATTACATTTATATTATAGCTGAAATGACTCTTGAGGAAAACTGGTAAAGTTTAACTACATCCAAAATTTTTTTTCTCTTAAGTTACAATTAGTGCTTGGTGGAGTTTTTCTTTAAAAGAAGCCAAATGCTCAGAGATTGGACTGACGCATTCCTCAATTTATGTAACTTTTTAGTTTGTAGAATAGATCACTGACTTGTATGCCTTCTGTTAGGTTATCAGCATATCCGCATGTATGATCTCAACTCCAACAACCCAAACCCTGTTATCAACTATGACGGCGTCAGCAAGAACATCACATCGGTGGGTTTTCATGAGGATGGACGCTGGATGTATACAGGAGGAGAGGACTGCATGGCCAGGATCTGGGACCTGAGGTACCAAAATTTAAAAGTAGGGACCCTTTCACACGGGGTGGATTCTGTTCTGATCAACAGTGGACCTGCGAGCTGATCGGAGCAGAGCAGGCAGACACTGTATTTGCAGAGTGGAAACAGACAGTTTGCTCTGCACTCTTCACTGCTCATTTACACCCAGCTATCTCTGATCCACTCCGCCTAAACCGAAGAGGACTTAGTCCTCTCCCATTATTATTGTGGCCCTGATCGGACCTGGAGCTAAGTGGGTGTTAATGGACACAAAGTTTGCATGATCTCCTTCTGCTCCCATGGGTTTCCTCCGGGTACTCCAGTTATCTGCCACACTCCAAAGACATGTTGGTAGGTAATTAGTTCCTATCTAAATCGGCCCTAGTATATGGTATGTATGCATCTGAAAGAAGGATCTTAGATTGTAAGCTCCTTGAGTGATGTGAATGTAAAATATACATTATGTAAAGTGCTGCAAAAATTATCAGCACTATATAACCACCTGTGTTAATCAAACATACAAAGGCACTTTAAGCAATTACACTGATCAGCCGTAACATTATGACCACCCACCTAATATTGAGTTGGGTATGGACTTCACTAGACCCTTGAAGGTATGCTGAGGTATCTGGCACCAAGCTGTCAGTAGCAGATCCTTTAAGTCCTGAAAGTTGTGAAGTGGGGTCTCCACGAATCAGACATTTTTTTCCAGCATATCCCACAGATGCTCAATTGGATTTGAGAACTGGAATATTTGGAGGCCAAGGCAACACCTCATACTCGTTGTTGTATTCCTTAAACCATTCTTGAAGCATTTTTGTAGTGTGGCAGGGAACATTATCCTACTGAAAGAAGCCACTGCCATCATGGAATACCATTTCCATGAAGAGGTGTATTTAGTCAGCAACAATGATTAGGTAGGTGGTAAGTGTCACGTAACATCCACATGAATGGCAGGACCCAAGGTTTCCTAGCAGAACATTACCCAAAGAATCTGATGCTCACATGCCAGTTCTGATGCTCACATGCCCATTGTAGGCACTTTTGGCTGTGGACATGGGTCAGCATGGGTCTAGCCTTTACAGTTTGGCAAAATCTCTCAAATCCTTATGCTTGCCCGTTTTTTTTTTTCTGCTTTCAGCGCATCAACTTCAGGGACATTATTCACTTGCTGCTTAATATATCCCATCCAATTTTGAATGCCATTGCAACGAGATAATCCGTTTTATTCACTTTGCTTGTCTGTGGTCATAATTTATGGTCGATCGGTGTATATGATCCCAACTTTATGACAACAGTTTGGGGAAGGCCATTTTTCCCTTCAAGACTCTTCCAGCTCCAAAAAGAAATGGGGCAGAACTCAGTAAAGGATATAGCATGCAATATGTCCCCCCAGCAAAGTACACCCCTCCTCCCCACTTCCAATGTTGTGGACATGTGGCCTGCTTTGGTAGGAGAGAAGGGAGGTAGGGAGCCTGCTGAGCTATATGCTTGAATAAGGGTCTGGTATTGTTTTTTGGGAGCACCTCATTTCCCCCCCCCCCCCCCCCCCCCCCCCCTCAATATTAATTCTAGACATGAAGGGCCTGGTGTGGATTAGGGTAAGGGGGGCCTGCACATTGCCTTTTTTTTTTGTATTGTTGGCTTTTTTTTACAATCTGCCAGGGTGGATTTAATTTAAATGAAACTTATTTAAATCACGATTTAAATCACTAGTCAGTAAGGCTTGATTTAAATCCTAGTTTTCTACATAAAGACTGATTCTTGCTGGTATAACTTTAATATGCAAGTAGATGAAGATTTTTAGAATAACTTTTCATATTAGTTTTTTTATCCCCAGTTTAATAGGTTAATCATTCATATTTGGACAACTTTTTTGTTGTACTTAGGAAGGAGAAAAAATAATCATTCCCTTAATAATAAACAATTTAAATAGATTTATTCATCTGAAACAATAACATTCCAGCATATGTGATTTGCTTAAACATCCATGTTTGTTAACTAATTTGGCTAAACAAAATCTATATATTTTAAGAAACGTAGACTGTCAGCCCCTTCCTCCTCACACTTAGTTTCACTTTCTTCTTGTGCAGATCTATTCCACTCCAAACAATCAGAAAAATATTGTTTCTATTCTATTCACTGAACTTCTTGAACCTTAGCACTGAAGGGGTTGATTCTGTATTCATAGGTTTGTAGAAGTTAGGATTAAGGGCTTTTTCTTAACTCTGTTCATGTTATAACATTTTTGCTGTGAAGAAGAGGCATGTGATCTCCGCTGAGTCAAGTTCAGTTTTGAGAACTGCAAAAGTAAACCAACATCTGTGATAATATCTTGTAGGCAGAGAAACTGCCCAATAATCTTACAAAAACCTCTGGAAGAGCATGACATTGTGAATGGATTCATGGAATTTATTTACCAAAAAAATTAAACATATACAGCCTTATTCTTCATAATTAAAAAACTAATCTTTATTTCATGATGGAATAACCTTTGGATGGTAATATATTTTCCGCAAAAAGCATTTTATTTAAAAAAAATCTGATTTAAATAAAAAAAAATCCAATTTAAATTAAAAAAAATCCGATTTTTTTTGATTTAAAAAAAAAATCATTGATTTTTATCTACCCTGCAATCTGCTGTCAGTAGTGAATCCTAAAAACCAGCATCCCTGAGCTGAACTGTCACATTGAGCACTGGTAGGAATACCACTTCTAAATATTTCAGTTGCAGCCGGTCTGCAGTAAAATAACGTACAAAAAACACATTAAATTCTGCAAAGTGTAATAAAAAAAAAACTCATGCAGTATTTAACGTGCATTTTTTCCTGAATTACATGTTCTGGAGTGAAATACCACATGATGTTTTTTATTGCAAATACTCATGCGGTATTCGTGAATTGAGCTCACGGTTTGATGAGTTTGGTGTGGAAGAGCTTTTGCGGCCTTCAGAGAGCCCTGACATCAACCCTACTGAACACCTTTGGGATGAATGGGAATGATGATTGTTAGTTCTTCTCATCCAACATCAGTACTTGACTTCAAAATCTTGTGGAAAGCCTTCCCAGAAGTGTAGAAGCTTTTATTGCTGCATAAAAAAGGTGGAGTTCTTCCATAATAAGGGCTTAACTTTCCCAAATTCTGTACTAGACTTTGCCTTCTGAAGTCCACTCATTCACCATGTCTTTGTATGATGAGAGTACCTCAGCAGTCAATAAGGGTGCTTGCATTGTGCAGGGAACTGCAGATGGGTGGAGGTTAGCTACATGGACAATCCTGAAATTGGGGGTGTCAAACCCTTACCTAGAAAAATGAATCAGAGGCATACAAAGAGTAGGGTTTTAGTTATAGCAGGAATCTAATGGTTTCTGCTCTACGCCAGGACTTTCAGTAGTTGAAAATGGGTAAAAGGTTCACTTGGTAGCGGAAGGACATGGAGAAGAGGCTCCTGTAGTTAGGAAAGGAAATATGTCTCTAATTTTACCATCTCAGCCTCCTCTGAGATGCTCCATTATCTGACTTATTTCTGTGTATTTTCAGCCAGGTATTACTCAAAGAACTGCGCTTCTTACATGTCCTGTCATTGTATTGTGCAGGTCCCGCAACCTTCAGTGCCAGCGAATATTCCAGGTGAATGCTCCGATCAACTGCGTTTTTCTCCATCCCAATCAGGTACTTGAATCTTTGTTATACTTTTTCATACTTTTGTAATTTAGGCTTGAATGTTTTAAAGGGGTTTGAAGGATAAGATCACCTTTGGAACATGTTACATGTCCCCCCCCCCCCTTCCTGTATTCCTGTATTTAGGGAGGAACATGTAGCATGTTCCAGCTCCTGCCTCCTCATCCCCCTTCCCTGTGACAATGGAGGGGGATCCCCCCTCTATTTAGGGAGGAACATGTAACATGTTCCAGCTCTTGCCTCCTCATCTCCCTTCCCTGTGACAATGGGAGGGGGTTCCCCCCTCTGTATTTAGAGAGGAATATGTAACATGTTCCAGCTCCTGCCTCCTCATCCCGCTTCCCTGTGACAATAGGAGGGGGATCCCCCCCTCTATTTAGGGAGGAACATGTAACATGTTCCAGCTCCTGCCTCCTTATCCCCCTTCCCTGTGACAATGGGAGGGGGATCCCCCCCCCCCCCCCCCCCCCCTCGCTGTCAGAATTTAAAAATCGCACAGCTGTGCCCACATGGCCGCATCATTCATTCACAGAGTACTGTGAATAAATGAACTACAACTATTGTCATCCTCTGCGGCCAGTGGCTTGTAGTTCTCCATGAACTGTGAGGGCTCCGGTGAGTGCTCTAAGTAGTTAATTGATTCTTTCTGCCATTCAGTAACTGTCTGCTCATACGAGGTACAGGAAGACAGCTGTACTGAGTGTCTGCTGGAGCGTGGCATGAGATCCATGATCTGCTTATCACAGGTGCAATGCCTTACAGGCTGCAGAGTAAAATAAATGATAAATGCACAATTCTTTTACCTGCAAAAAAAATGTGCATTTATTATTTTTTTGTAAAAGGTGAACTTGTCCTTTAGAGATTGAAGGGGGTGGATAGTATTGGACTGGAAGGGGTATGTCTTTTAAAATTTAGTTGGGCCAATAAAGAAATTAAGTGCAAATATGTAAGTCTGTAATATATACTATATTAAGTCTTCCATAATATTCATAGGGCAGTTGAGGAGGGATTTTAGCTTCAAATTGGCAGATGTCTATGGGACTCTCCTGGGGTGTAGTGGCATTTGGCTCCAAGCATAATGCTAAACTGCAGGCAGTTGTTAAAGGTACAAATCAGTGCAGCTCTGTATTCATTAGTAAATTGGTATATAAATGGTTTTAAATGCAACTAATGTAGGGGCCTGAATTATGCTGGGTATCAGCCTCTTTCAATGCCTTATACAGCAGCAAACTGATAGAGGGAGGAGCACCACTGGGAGCCAATCCGGTGTGTTTTTTTATTTATTTAAATATTTATTAATTTTTCAGATAAACAAGTTCTACAAACATACTCATTAAAACCTTAGCATATTATCAAAACATTTATCGTTTCTTCTTCCCCCCCCCCCCCACCTACCTATATACCACCCATTCCCCCCCATCCAATCCCTAACCCCTTCTGCTCTGCTTTTCCTGTTCATTTCTGGGGATCGTAATCCCTATAAAAGAAGAACAAAATATGTTTCCATTTTATTCTATGTTAATCCCCCATAACCTCTAAGGCTAGCCTTGACTTTTTGAATTCCTCCCATTTGTTCCATCTTGTATGGTGACTCTCCATCTTATCTTCATTCAAATGATAAAGTTCCTCCAATTTACATATTTGACAATTGTTGATACCAATGTGTTGCAAAGAACATGTTGATTAGAGGAGTGAGCAGAGGGGTTACTTGCGGCTTCTCTTTTACTGACCAGTCAGCAGGCTGGGTGTGGAGAGAGGACACCAATATATTACATAAATGCAAGTGCTATCATCCACCTGGCTGTGCTGTGTGAATCCCAGGACTAGATGGATTAAAATACAATCCCTTAGCAGGTAAACCAGCTCTCATGAATCTATTTCACCTGTGTGTTTAGCTGCTTATCTGAAATTCAGCTTCAATTTAAAGTGGTAGTAAAGTTGTTTAACTTGTACCTGCAGGTACACCTATAATAATGCTTACCTGTAGGTACTGTAAATATTTCCTAAACATGCACCGTTCAGGAGATATTTACTTGTAAAGGAGCAGTGGTGCATGTGCTCTGAAGGAACGGCTTGCTCGTGCTGTTCCTTCAGAGCTGTGCTCCGTAAAAAGTGACTCCCGCGTACATGTTCAGGAGAGACGTCATCACGGGTCAGCCGCTGGACCCCGCAAACCCGGAAGAAGGACTGGGTGAAAATAGAAGCCCTGTGATCGGTGACAGCGCATCACTAGAGGGCTTAGTTTTAAGGGAAGTGTTACATAATGTACTAGTTTTTGATGCATACTAGCACACTATGCCATTGTTTTGCAGGGTTTTTTTTTTCTTTTTTAAATAAGGCAGCACAGTGGCTAAGTGGTTAGCACTTCCGCCTGGCAGTACTAGGGTCATTGGTTCGAATCCCAACCACGGCACCACCTGCCTGCAGTTTGCACGTTCTCCCTGTGCCTGCGTGGGTTTCCTCTGGGTACTCCGGTTTCCTTCCACACTCCAAAGCCATACTTGGAGGTTAATTGGCTCCTGTCTAAATTGGCACTAGTATGTGTATGTATTGGTGTATGTATGAATGTGAATTAGAGACTTTAGATTGTACACCCCTTGAGGGTTAGGGACTGATGGGAATGTACAATATATATGTAAAGCACTGCATAGATTGACGGCGCTATATAAGTACCTGAAATAAATACATAAATAGGTCGCAGTTTAGTACCATTTTAATAAACAACATATACTTTCTGGATGTTTGTAAATAAAACATCTCACTAATAAAAGAAGTTCAAACCATCATGCATTAAGACTGTGTTTACAATATGAATTGCACAGAAATGTTCCTATTTGATTCATATGTGATTCAGTGTGGTGCGGTTTGAGCCCGTTTATTTTGAATGGGCTCCAATCGCACTGCATCGCACCAAACGTACTGAGCGCCTTACTTTTGGAAACGCACTACATTCAAATTGCATGCTACATTTATACCATGCAATCCGTTGCAGGTATATGCTCTGCGTTTGCGACTTGTGATTAGGGTGTCGTTTAACTTAACATTAATATCTGCTGGAGATCGTAACTGCACTGTGTTTTGAACGCGGTGTGGGAAATGCTCATAGATCGCAGGTTTCCCACACCATATTCTAGTGTGAACCTAGCCTAAAGGGAAACCATAACTGTTTTTCAGATTTGAATGTGAATGTGATCAGTAGAACCTGATCCTATTACATTCTACACACTAATGACACAATTTAACAAGAGTCTTTCACCTTTCTCATTCAGGGCAAAGTAACTGTGACAGTGTAAAGAGTTCCTTCACTCTCTGATACTGATTTTGCTAGTTCTTGCCTACTGTTCCCGAGCACATTTGTTCCGCCACACCTAGGTGCGTTGAGTATTTTCTTTTCTTTTTTTTTTTAAATACAAACAACTTTTATTGCCAAGACAATGAAAAAAAATGGAACATACTTACCCTAGGTTCACATCTGTGCGGGTGGTGCCGCTGCGGATCCACACGAAAATCCGTGCAGCCACACCACCCGCAAAGAGTAATGCGGACCCACGGGCAGGTGCCTTCAGTTTTAATGGGACGCCACCCGCACTGGGAAACGCAAACGTACTGGGAACTGAGGTTCCCGTGCGGTCTGCGTTTTCGAAAGAAGTGCAGGGACTTCTTCCCTGCATGTCACGGGAGTCCATTCAAATGAATGGGCTCTCGTTCCCGTGCAAAACGCTGCCCGCACAGCTGCATAGATGTGAACTGGGGATTACAGAATCTCCAATAATATTACTGCATCATCAGGATTATACATAAATAGATCAATGTGGATACGCTGATCCCGTAATAGACAGAAATGCAGAGCTAGTAATCAATCAAAACAGAGAACACAAGGATCCTGGCGTCTGGGCCTTGACGCCGAGCGGCCGCACATTTGTGTGCAATTAAGAAAAACATATGTGCTGAGAGCTCGCGCCCTGCGCGCTCCCAGCACACGTCTGGTACTCACGGAAAGGTTCCAATCTCCTCTTTCGATCGGCACCATTCCTGATCATGTGACCACCGTGACGGCGAATCACGGCGGTCACATGACCCGAAAACCCCGCCACGCCTCCCCACTTCTGAAAGCCTAAAGGGCCGGGAGGTAGTGGTAGTAAAGTGGTAGTAAAGCCTGTTTGTGTACTTGTAGGTATTGTAAATATCTCCTAAACATGCACCGTTTAGGAGATAATCAAGTTTTATTGCAGCCAATGCATGTGCTCTGAAGGAATGGCATACCCGTGCTGTTCCTTCAGAGCTGCGTGCCGATGACATCACTCCCGCGTGCAGGAGTGACGGCACAGCCATTCAAGCCGTCGGAGAAGGACTGGACGAAGATGGAAGCCCTGTCAGCGGTGACGGCGCAATGCTGGAGGGCTTCGGTAATTTTCACATAATGTTCTAGTATTAGCAATTATGACATTAAACCAAAAACACACTGACTGGGTGCTCCAGATATTTGTTGTATACACACTCTGTGCAGTCAAGGGTGGAGAACAGGCTTGAATGCTGCTTTGTTCCACAGGCCCAGTGGTCACTCTGACACTGCCTATATTTATTCAATCACCTGGAACTGTTCCTTCTTCTGGCTGCTGATATCTATCCTTATGTTGGAGTGGTAGCACAGCACCCCACATACACTGTTTAGTTTATACTATGACATTGCCTTGCATGGGAAATTTTCTTTTTAACCATTTCAATACCGGGCAATTTTACACCTTCCTGCCCAGGCCATTTTTCAGGTTTCAGCGCTCTCACACTTTGAATGACAATTGCGCGGTCATACAACATTGTACCCAAACTAAAATTTTATCATTTTCTTCACACAACTAGAGCTTTCTTTTGGTGGTATTTAATCACCGCCGGGGTTTTTATTTTTTGCTAAATTAACAAAAAAAGACCAAAAAGTTTGAAAAAAAAACACGTTTTTCTTTGTTTCTGTTATAAAAGTTTACAAATAAATAATT